AAAACGAAGTCATAAGTGGCTACGCAGTACTGGTTGATAATTATGAAAGTAGAAGTTGTAAAATCTCATGAGCCTGAAAGAGCTCATAAATTAACTTCTAAAGGGAACGAATGGAACCAAGTTGAGCCATGCTATGCGCTATTCTAGTTTCGCTGATTGGAAAAAAGTCTATGAGAGAGCAAATCGCAAAGTGCGCCCTCTACATATGCAGAGGAGAATCTTACTGCGTGAAGTATGTTTCAACGCTCCTTTACAGCAGCGTAACGGAAATTTTGTAAAGACAGGAATTCCCACAGAGTGCGTGTTCATGTAGGATCGAGCGACAGTTTTTGAAGCTTTTTACGTTTGGAATTATATGTTCTGAAAATGTTTTGTATGAAAATGTCTACTGTAAAACCTTTACTCGTGTATACCGAAAATTCCCTTTGACTTCCCTTCAATTTCGGCCGGATAATATCCTTACATGATGCAATATGGTGTTGGGTTTTTCAAGTCTATATCATGTGAAATAAAAACATTGAAAAGCCAATCGAAGGTCGGAAAGAGGGTAGGAACAACCAAAGCGATTACATTATTGATTTTACCTTTTCGGTGAAAAACAACATTAACAGACGCTTTGGCTTGGAAAGTGTGGAAATCTATAAAAAATGGGTGGAAACTATTATAGAGAAAATATTTCTCTTAACAGAAAGGAGTGGTTACGTTAGCAAAGGTTTCGAATGGAAGTCGAATGCGGAGCTATCCTGAAATGGGATTGGTTAACGCTGAAGCATTGACCCTTTGCTCAGTGTTAAGAGAAGTCAGCGACTTTATAGAAAGTTTTTATCGTGAATTTCATATGTCGCGGTCAAGCACAACCAAGTCGAACGTTGCAACTATTTCTACCCGCTCATGAAATGAAAACGCATCAGTCGATTACCCGGATGTCTCAAAGAAAATTCATTTCTCTAACAATTGTTGGATACGACGGAATGGGTAGTGTAAAGTGATGTTTGGTAAAAAGTACACTGCAACTGCAAATTTGTACAAAGGAGTGGTGTTACCTCGCTTGGCACGGGATGAAGAAAAATGAGACATGAGGGAGGTATGAAAGATGAACAACAGAGAGCTTCAATTTAAAAAAAATGTTGCCACACCTATTAACATAATAACAAACAATTTCTTGAATGGATACCATAGTGTAAACTCGAAACACTTACGCATATGGGCAGCAGGAACATTAACACCACCATTCGCAGCCAGCTGAGCGGCCATTGCCTGATGAAGTTGTGCTTGGATGTGGGCTTGAACCAACGCCGGATTTTCAGCCGCCATACCTAAAGCTGAGGGTAATGCACTTCTTCTGGGTTGGAGGAATTCAATTCTCGAAATAAGCTGCCATTTTATAAGTTCCAGCGTGGACGAAATATAAGTTCTGATTGCTGAACGGACTCACGAGCAAGCAAAGCGGGAGGCACCATCGGAGCTCCCGGAGGAAGCACTGGAGGAAGAAATGGCGCTGCACCAGGAGGGAACACTCCACCTACTGAAGGCGTCAAGCTCGGAGCAGGGGGGCTTGGACCGGCACCAGGCATAGGAGCATTCTCTTCCTAAAATTTCGGAGGTATCTTGGTATTTTTCTGCGTAGGTTGTGAAACAATCGGCGTTCTAAGAAAAGTCCATGAAGGAACCACTTTTACATTAGCAGAATTCGACTGCGTTTGCAACAAAAACGAGCGGATTCACAAACAGTCTAACGGGTTCACTAACGTACGATTTCTCGGTTTTTCATCAAATGACAAATGAAACGAAATGTTGTGTACAGCGGAAGTACGTACCTGTTGTTTTGCAAAGTTCTGCAATCTGCTGAGGAGGTGTGCTTGCTGATTCGGATCTTGCAGTGGGTTGCCCTTGGTTATCTAATGTTAACACATAATAAGAACGCAAGACAATATAATGCAATATTTATCAGTACAAACAATCTGTAGCAATTCTCAGTAACAGCAACTCACTGGTGCAGTGCGAGTGTCCTTTGAACTAATAGCTTTTTCCAGATCTTCGAGTCTCATAGCACGTACACCGCCCGGTCCTGCTACAGTTGGTGGCATGGATGGATTTCCCTGAAAGAAAAATAAAGCCCAATGAGCAACCCATGAACATTAGCCAAAAAGTTTTTTTTCCAGAAAAGTTTACTGTGCGCTTTTGAAAAGAGTATGATATTTGATCACCTGACATAAATCAAATAAGAATAATAGACACAAATGCAATGTTCAACTTGAAAGTTAGGCATAGCAAATTAGAAGGCATGAAGTGAATCTCACCTGTGAAGAAGTTTGAGGAGTTTGGCCTCCTGATGAAGGAGTTTGAGCAAAAATTTTGGCCAACAGAGGATTAGAAGATTGAGGATCGTCTTGGCTAGTACGAGAGTTTTGTGCAATGCTACCAGCTGCAAAGCCATCAAAGTAAACTCAAGTAGTGAAAGACAAGAAATGGAATATAGAAAAATACTAACATTGAGAATTGTTCTTGTTGAAGAAACGGCTCAGGCGACTGCCTGTCGTAGACGAAGAGTTGTCATCGGTAGCAGTGCTCACCTGGAAAGAGGGAACCGACGTTTCTTGATTCAAGAAAAAGAAAACATCAAAGAGACCTTACCTTGTCAAGTAAACTGGACATACCGTCATCCTGCACATCAAGCAAACCTAATATTGCAGCAAACTCAGCGTCAGTTTCTGGCAGTGCAGGTCCTATAGGGCGAGGTCCTTGAAGGAATGCATTGAAAAGAGCTTGCTCTTCTAATCACAATATATAAGAAAAATGCTGAAATCTATAGATGCTAGATGCATGGTGGACCAGAAAATCCCACCGGGAACAGCGTCTTCCACTCGTTGTTGATCAAGTTTTCCATTCTCAAGTGACTCCTTCCTACCATCTCCTTTCTTTTCCTTTTCTTTCTCTTTCTCTTCTTTGGCACGACTTCCTGACCCTCTTTTGCTTTCTACAATGATGGATGCGTGAGCAAGCAATAGTGGGAAATCGCTAACGAAGACCTACTTTTGACAGGTTCCTCAAATCCGCGCAACTCGATCATATCATCCATCGTTGTTGATCCGTCAGCCCATTCTGGCATCCTTTCCTCCCTGTAATGTTTGGTTACGATTGATATGATAAACAAAGGACCGTTCAAGATCACTGATAGAAAAATTAGAAGCAATATGTATTAGCCGATCTATAAAGCCCATAAGGGGCCTCTATAGATCGGCTAATACTGCTTTAGACTTGTAGACTAATTCTCCACGGGTTCTTACGGAAACCTATCACCACAAGGTCCTTACACACGTCAACGATATGTTTTGCAAAAAATGATTTGTTCTCAAAAAACAACAATAATTACCGTTGACTCTTGGACTGTGAATACTTCCCACTACTCATTTGTGGCCCACGCTCCTTCATTTCCGTACGCCATGAACCTGAACCACCTCCACCGGAGCTGCGAGCATTGGCTCCAGTTGATCTTTGCTGTAAGATTACAGTAACTCGCTCAAGTGATCGAAAAGTAAAGAATTGCTCGGAGTGGCAAAGATAAATATTAGGGACAACAAAATATGTACAAAAATGAACAAACGTTGGTATTTCACTCACAAATGGCAATTTGAAGTCACTGCTCTTGTTTGAGTACTTATCCGCGCCACCATTCGATCCACCGCGCCAGTTCTTCGTACTATTCGTTCCAAGACGATCGCGGTCTCGCTCAACACCTGTCCAACCGCTCTCGTTAGCGAATCCACTACTACTTGGAACCCCTGTAAATGAGAAATGGAATCATAATTACTGAATGGTCAAGAAAGAAATCTGCACTTCCTCAGTGTCAAGAAATTTACGGCAAAACAAACCTTCTTTGCCTTTATCATCTGCAGGCGCTCGACAACCACCCGAGAATCCTCTCCGCTGCGGCGATAGACCAGCATTCTCGTCCATAGCTCCTGTAGATTATTACGTATAATGAAAGGATGAAGGAAGGTGATGGAACCTAATTTCACAGCAGTTTTCAGCTAAGATCGACTTGCAGAAAAAACAATTTGTTCAAAAGTGCAAGTGCGACAAGGCATAATGCTTCTTGAAGTAGTTTTCATGTTAAAAGATTTTCCATATTACAAGTAAAGGAAAATTATCTAAAGATGACCAAAATCAGCAACTCCGCATTTCCTCCGCTCTATCAGTCCGAACTTTATTTCTATTGTATTAGTATTGAAATTTGTCGAATAGATAATAATCAACATAGAACTAATCCAACTTCTGACTTTGCAAGCAACTTGCGCTTTTGTCCATTTCAAAACAAGGTATTACATTGTAAGGGAAGAGAAAGTATCGAGCGAGAAAACTCAAAAGTATAACCTGAGTTTTACGGAAACCAGTTTGGAAGCAATCTCAAAACCATATCATGCGTAACAAGGTGTAAATACCTATACATAGTGAATCCACTAAGGTGTGAGGCATCCCTAAGGTGAACTAGTTCGAATACGAGAACTGGTTCCAGTATGATAGCGTCTTCTTAAGCTTTAGACTGAAAGGAGCAGCTCTTTATGATGTTGTATGATTGGAAGCCAGATCTCATAATAAAGGGAATTACGACAAACCGCCGTCGACAACAGCAAAACATTCACTATCTGCTGTACCGCTACTGTGTGAAGTTGGTTTGAATTACCGGTAAGAATTTGGAAAAAACAAAATGGTTGTTCAATTTGTGTATAATTGCAAGGCCAAATGGCCAATCTTACCTAACCGAACGTTAAACTTTATAATGCAGAGTATACTTGTAGAGCTGATTCTGTCAAAAAAAGGACTATGGCCTTGTAGTGAAAGGAAAACATCATAAGGACGTAGTTGCTGGAAAAAAGGAAAAAGCACCTGCGTTCAACGCGTCCTGCAACTTCTTCGTCGGTGCCCGATTTTTTATGCCTTCGACCTCCCACCGATGCTCCAACCATTTGAAAGGTGAAAACTTGCCGTCATCTCTAAAAAGCGACGAAATCAATAATCGCAATTTTATGAAATACAGATACAAAACAGAAAAGAACCTATGCAATTCGATCGCGAAGAAAGCATGAGTGAAGAAATACAAACAAACCCATTGAAATCAACAGATAGAATTTCAGGACGTTGCATACTGAGCGGCGCTGTGGATAAGCGAATCATCTCATCTCTGTCGTACCGAAACACATGACCGGTTCGCGGAATAAACTTTTGACCTAGTAAATTCGATACAAGAGGATGGACCTCGTTCTCCTCATCTGACTGACTGGACATATTTACACTGAAAACATAGGAATACATAATTACGCAATTAGAAGAAACCGAACTCAACAATGTAACAATGTATAAAATAGGAACGGATGTAACGACGAGGCCATCAAGAAGGGCAAGCCATTCTAATACGCTAATACGTTAACGAAGTATAAAGACACAAAATATTTAGCAATGAAATATTCGAGAATGAAAATCTCTCGGAAACATGCAAGAAAGCGCTTCAATCATGTTAAAATATACATGGACAGATTCAATTAAAATCGACTCAAACTTACGCTTCTCAAAAACCGCAGCCTATCTGATATGAGAGCTCTCCCTTTCGAAAAACAGTTGGCAAGAACGATTGTTAGGGAAGAATAACAAATACTGCAGTAAGTGTTAAAATAATTTAGCAGCAAAACTTCTGCTACATGAATAGGTAGAAAATGACTCGATGTTTTGCTGCAAGTTAGCACAGTGGCGGCCAAAAACTGTTTCCTCATATACACAGTCTTCATAAGACAGCTGTGAGTAAGAACGGCTTACAAGTACGACAAAAGTCTGTCGATAATGAGTTCTTTTATCGTCTTATAAAATTGCAACCCTAAAAAAGATGCTCTTTAATCACCCAAATAACACAAGATTTTTGTCATCGTGAAAAAAGAAACAGCTTTGAGTCATTGTCTTTACAAAATGAAGATAAAAATGTTAGTGAATAGTAACAACGCGGGGACAATTTTGTGATTAACAAAAAAAAATGCTCATCTTCCAAGTTTCAAATGTAAACCATCACTACAACGCTACTATAAGCTGACCAAAGACGACGAGCTTTTTTTGCAAAGTGATGATATCAAGGAGGCCTACATTGACTTACAAGAACGGGAAATCAATCACCAATAGCTCTCGTGGGGAGGGACATGGGGATGACTAATCATTTGGATATAAGGACCTGTCGAAACAAGCTTGACCAGCGCTTCACGCACCACCACGGAACGACCATGTCCTGGCCAGGAAAAGAGCTCAAAGCGAAAAAGTGAACGAATCCAAGAAAAACAGCAAATCTTAGACTAAGAAAAAGTCCCTTAGAAGAAAGCCAATTACTGGAAGTCGGACATTTTCGTGAACTCAATCCATAGGTTGAAAAGTGTACGGCAATAAACGTAGACTACTGTAATGGCGTGAATTGACGCATCAAAAGTGTACGACGCCGCATATGAAAACACACGTTTCCTTTAAATTTGGGACTACTTTGTAAAGAGAGGGCCCTTTTTAGCGTTTCCGTCTTTCTTTTTACAGCGGTTTCATATTTTATTTCATAATAATACTATTTCGATGACAATTCCAACCCCTTCAAGTGTTATTGCGGGCCATTACGATTCTCGTGTTGTGTGCGTGGTAGTAAATTGGTTTTGATTTGAATTCAGTTGCAGATATGCACAGTATCTGGGTAAAAGTTCCAGTTCGTAGTTGTTCATGAGTCGATTTGATCCGCTCCTTTTGTTTGTTTTCTTAACGTTTTTNTTTTTGAAAAGAGGTGCTTTTGAAGCCCAAAACAATGTTACTGTCAACTTGAGTAGCGACTTAAAAGCTCTTAACCCACTAAGTAGCCTCCTTCTGGCTATCACTATTTGATTATGATCTGCGGCTGGTGTTAGAAAAGCGAAAGGGACGTGAATCTTCTCGACTCTTTTGACAGATGAATTGTGGGCTTTGTTCAGTTACGACGGTTGTCGTATGGTTCTGGCAAACTCAGTGTGTCCTTGAGTAGAAACTTTTTAGATTGTTTCTTCTAGACATCCTAAGCATTGGATCGGTTACAGTTAGTGGCACATATAAGGCCGTCTATTTTTGTACATTCTTTTAACCGTTCCATTATTCGCTAAAATCTATCTTCACGTACTTAGAGTGGCGTTCATTTGAACTGTTCTTCTCTATAATATATCTGGCTTTTAAGCTTGGTTTCCGCTAATCATGGCGGTCGGAAAGAATAACAACAAGATGGGCAAAAAAGGTGGCAAGAAGAAGGCCGTCGATCCATTTGCCCGAAAAGAATGGTACGATATCAAGGCGCCGTCGATGTTCTATAACCGACAAGTCGGAAAGACCCTCATCAACAAGACTCAAGGAACGAAGATTGCTTCTGAAGGTCTGAAGGGACGTGTGTTCGAGGTGTCACTTGCTGATCTGAACGACTCCGAGGCCGACTTCAGAAAGTTTAAACTTGTCTGCGAAGATGTGCAGGGAAAGAATGTTCTCACTAACTTCCACGCCATGTCCATGACTCGTGATAAGTTGTGCTCAATTGTGAAGAAGTGGCATGTGAGTTGGGAATCATAGTCTGCATTTATTGATTTCAAACTATTCTGTACTGTTCCATTTTTCACCACCGTTGGCCTTTTTCCAGACCCTTATTGAAGCTAACGGTGTCTTCAAAACAACAGATGGTTACGTTTTGCACTTGTTCTGCATTGGTTTCACCAAGCGATCACCAAACCAAGTCAAGAAGACCACATACACCAAGGCCTCAAAAGTACGCAAGATTCGCGCAAGAATGTTGGAACTAATGAAGAAGGAAGTAAGTTTTTCAATTAATGTTCAAACATAAATGTTGGAATTGCCAACCTCGCTCTCTCCACTGTGCGCGTTCATAGTAGATGCGCTTATACGTAGACGAGCGCGTTTTGGGCGGAATCGATGTAGTGGGAGGTGGCCTTATCTCACACGCATGGTCACTGGATCAGATCCTGGATCAGTGCTCACAGGAGACAACCAGGCCTTCCATCCCTCTTGAGCCGTTTAATTGGTATCAGGCTGGTCTGGGAGGTTGGAAGGAGTTACCTGTACTTTGGTTGGCTACCTCAAGTCATTGTATGTATAGGGCACACATTCAGTAGCCCACTACGATTCTGAGTCGAAGCTGAGAGCGGGAGGGCGTCCCTCCTACGGGATTGATGAACGGACAAACCCTGGTCTTTATCCTTATCCTCTAGGGCGTTCTTACACGGTATATGCGTGGAAATACACAAGATTCAAGGATGAACTGAAACACCCACTATGAATGCGTCTACTGACTTCAGTGCTCTCTCTTTTGCGACATTACTCTTGCCTCGAACTCGCAATATTGAGCGTTGAATCGAATTTTGGGTGTTTTAGCGGGCCATATATTGAACATCTATTACAGGTGGTGTTACGTGCTGACGTATGCATTACCAGCTTTAGCGAGAGGTTATTCTGTTTAAAATGTGTCGAGAGGTAGTAATAGTAGCGGAGAACTAATGAATCTGTTCATGATAGAACAAATGAGATTTCGTGTTACTCGAGTGTATGACTACTAAAAACTGGCACCTTCCATCACAACTGTTCCTATAATATTTGTAATCTCTATTGCGCGATTCTGGAAACTAGCAATTACTTGTCGTCCCGTTGATTATCGATTTTCTAGAGCGGACAAAAGTAACGTCTCCATTCGTCCCCGTCCAGCCAGAGCACTCCAGTGAATTGTCCTCGCTCCAGGGACACGGGGCAGAACGCTTATTTCGTTCAGGGCTTTCGTGAAGAAGTCTGACTATCGAGCCAGCGGCCGTCTTGGTATTCGTTTGATGTCCCAAGGGGTCTGGCCCACGTGATCTTCGATTTCTTGGCGTAATCAACGTCATCCCTGATCTTTGTTCGGTGACGGAGCTCGTTCCCCAAATTCCCTTTTGCACTTGTGGGTATAGGCAATTCCGAGCATAGCCCTTTCCTGGGCGCGTTGAGTCACGCTGACAGGATGCTCATCTTGCTTTCGTAACGTCCAAGTCTACGTGGCGTACGTCAAAGCAGGTAGGACAGCAATATCGGAAAGGTGAAGGCTCAGCCGATACTCTTGTATGCTCTATAGGCAGCGCATTTCTTTCTGCTCAGTTCCGAAGCTAGGTCGTTCATCATGTTGACTTCCCGACCTAGATACACGTAGCCAGAGCATTCAGAGATTCGTTCCGCTTAGCATAAAAGAAGTATCAGGTGCCAATTCGTTTCCCATGAACATCGTCTTCGTTAAATTCAATGTCAAGCCGATCTTCCCACAAGCACTGTTGAACTCGGCTAGAGCTCGCGATGCATCCTTATGTATTGTGCTGGAACCAAGGGCTGTAATTATCGTATCTGTCTCGACAGTATCAAAGGCTTTCTTTAAATCGGTGAGCGTAAGACAGCGGCATTTTCTACTCTCACGATACTTCAACGAGTTGTAAGAGGCGGATGTTATCGATTGTACTGAACCCTCTCCAAAACTGCTTGCTCGCATATTTGTCCTTCACCTGATATTCTGCCAATCCTGTTCAGGATGACGTGTATGAAAAGCATGTAGATACATACAGCAACACGGTATTGCTAGTTTTCCACGACCTGGGCACTTAGCATTCCGACAGTTACCGTTAGTGAGCTTAGCCAGTGTACTGTCTATAGCTGGTGGAAGGCTCTTTAGATGTTCTGGTTTGGCCCTATCGGGACGGGGCGCCGTATAATTCTTCCTCGACGTGATGGCATGTCGAATTTCGCAAGGGAGAACCGCAGGAGCGATATATTCATCTTGCTCAAGATGGTGGGTAAGCAGATAGACGTGGCTGTCGAAGAGGCCTGAGTAGAAGCCGTAGACGACCTTCTCCATTGCCCTTCAAGATGCAGTATCTGTTCAATGAGGACGACAAAGGGAGGTATCTTGGCCTTGTAATCGGCGAATCCGTCGGGTTTTGCGAATGCTCATTCCGGCCTCGGCGGCTTCCCCCATAACTGATGCTCTTCTTTTAGATTTTCCTTTATCGCTTCTTTTCGAAAGCTCAAAGCCCCAAAAGTTCGGACGTTGTCGATGATTGCCTGTAGCTCGCGTTTCTGCGCTGGCGTAGTAGCGCTGAGCCTAGAGCTCGAGCGCTTTATGAAGAGCCGTCTCTTGGCTACTTGTAGACTCTGCTTTCGTAGCACTATCGTGAAGATGTTCGACGAGCTGGTTGAATTCTCGTCGATGTTGTCGATAACAGAATCTTCCATTCGCTCGCAAGGGAAGCGAAGTGGACCCAGTTGATGGAGGTCTTCCCTTCGTTCATAGCTCTTCCTCCACGAACTCTTTTTTCTCTAGGGCGGTGGAGACGATGGTCCGATCCCGTGTCGAGCTTCGGAACAACGGCGACATCATTCAGGCAAAACTTCCGATTAAATATGATCTGGTCTATTTCATTATGGAGCTGTCCACCACCTGACTCCTATCCCCATCGCTCATGAGAGGGCTTCTGGAATTGCGATCTATATATTGGGAGCTTCTTCAGGTTCAGGGGAATGAGGCCCAATCATATTACTGTATTTGGCAATGGGTAACCAACAAGTAGCTTGCCAGGCTGTGGGGACTGGGTTGACTCGAGGGCTAGGCAGGCAATCCCGAAGTGGACAGGGGCTCTGTTCCTAGAGGCGGCCCCGAGTCGCCTGCCAGATACTTTCCAGTCACTCGAATGAAAGCTTTTGTCTGAGTCGATGGGCAGGATACCAAGGATACCAACTGTACCCGCAGACTCTCCACATACATGCGTGGATGCAGCTGCGAGAAACGTAGAGTATGTCGACCAGCACAGCAGAATCAGGGAGTCCATCCCCTGAATCCACTTGCGTCTGTGAGCAAGTACTGGCGACTTTTGGTCGGCGATTTACTCCTCTATCGGCTACCTGGAGACGCCCTGCGTAACCTTGTCGCTAACCGGCTGGGATCATCCAGTGCGAGAGAACCTTCAGTGAAGGAAAACCGTGGAGAAACTATCAATACTTTTGGTTATTCTTTCACCAGTTGGGCTACGCACGCTAATGCGCGCACCACATGCCCACTACCGCTCACCNTTGCTCTCCAAGTCCACGGGATCGGGAGTTATGGATTTTCGCTCAGACATTTATTTCGCACAAACTCCGCCTCCCAGTGGACGGAGTACGGCTCTACTACCCATTATAAGTGTTCCCATCCTGCCGCCTATACTCCTGCCAAGTTTGAACGCCCTAGGACCAAATTGACAGTTTTGGCGCCAGCCTCGCCCTTTGTGCCCCGACCCTGCCACCCACCACTAATGTTCCCACCCTGCCTCGGGTACTCTTACCGAATTCGAATTTTCTAGTTCCACTGAGACAGGAGTCACTATTTTCCACTGAAACATTTTGTTCGCACAAACCCCGCCCCCTATGGGCGGGGTCCGGTCCTGCTACCCACCATATGTGTTCACATCCTGCCGCCTTTGCTTCTACCAATTTTGAACGCGCTAGGTCCACGGGGACAGGAGCTATGAATTTCCGTACAAACAGACAGACAGACAGACGGACAGACAGACGCGAGCGCTTTATATAAAGTAAGGATTATGCCCACATGTACTAGTTACCTTGTCTGGTTTTTCTTTGCTGCACAAAGCTGTGGGTGATCGCTTTCACTAATGTCACCTCTTCTTTTTAAAGCCATGCTTCAATATATGTTTGGTCGGTGGTCATGATTAATAAAGTAGTCGTGCTCATCGGCCAAGGAAGGTGATGTTAAAGGCATTGGGGGGTAGGGTGAATCTGTTTTTGAATCTTGTTCACCTACCAAAAAGATTGCTGCAGCTGCTACTATAGAATAAACGGCTGTCTGGGCTGCAGCATTGAGGTTAATAATAAGCTGTTGTAGATAAAGTTGTCTTCTCCAACCAATGCAGACGGTGGGCTTTCCTTTCCTCATCAGTGCTGACCGTTCATGGTGGTGTATTCAGCGCTTATTTTCAGACATCATTTTCTCAGCAAGGGCACCATTAATGACCCATGTAGACCCTTTAAGTTTTTTTTTTGAATATTGCCTCGCATAACTTCTGAATGGCTGCTTTCATAGTCCGCCGGCCGCCCGGCCGGCGTGCCGGCGGAGGCAGTGCTAGGGGGAGGAGGGAGGCAGACAGATAGGCGAACAGTCCACGCCCCTCCGAGGGGTTGAAAACAAACAACCTTCGAAGGGGCGTGGACTGTTTGCCTTACACTGTCTGCCTCCCTCTTCCCCCCTAGCACGTGAAGGCCTCGCACTGTTTTTAATAGCGAAGGAAGAACGCTGCTTTATATTTCATCCTTAAACGTTGTAGGTTTCTGGTTGCGACTTGAAGGAGGTTTGTTCCAAGTTGATCCCTGATTCGATCGGCAAGGACATCGAGAAGGCGTGCCATGGATTGTACCCTCTGCAAGATGTGTATATCCGCAAAGTGAAGATTTTGAAGAAGCCCCGACTTGATCTTGGACGCCTTATGGAAATGCATGGTGATTCCATTACTGTTGGTACCGATGGTGAGAAAGTTGATCGCCCTGATGATTACGAGCCTCCCATCCAAGAAACCGTTTAATTGTTTTTGTTGTGCTTCGAGCTATAAATGTTATTATGTTGTTTAAATAGAGTTTTTGGTATCAACAAAATATTTATGAGATCTATAACCCAACAGTGACCATACGAATACATACAATGTGAAAAGTGTGTGTGTGCGTGGTGAGTTGAGGGAAGTTAGGCTTATCCAAACGGGTTACAGATAGGGAAAATGTCTGAAAACTCGCAGCCTTCGTCACAACACTTGTGCATCGTTTTCTCGAGTGTGCTACTGTCATCGAATGATGGGTCTATGCTCCGTCGTCGACGCCGCATAGGGCAGATCAGATTGAATGCATCGAGGAATGATGGTCCGCCTGAAATAGGTGTGCTCATGAAGAATTCCTCAGAATATTCCAATTGTAATTGATAAATTTGTGTAAGGGCAAGCTCATAGAAAATAATGGGCGTGAAGAAAACGTATACTGAGAAGCCCTACGATTTTAAACGAAGTTTGATGGAAAGGGGCATTGTGGAGCAGGATTTGTCAGCGCTGCATGCTTCCTCAGAAACTTCAATGCCCCTTATTAGGGGGTGCGTTTGTTGCGCGCGTCCGTCCAAACGAGGTCACGCTGCAGCCGTAGCATGCGGCGGGTCGGCCCGCGATATTTGACGGACTTTCAGTTGTCAGTGGGGCCTACACTTTGCGCTTCGTCCACGGCAGTCAGCCAAAACGAAGATAACATGGACAAGTGTAAATCATTTGCTCCACTGACGGTGATACTGTAATGACATCTCGAGACCTCAATTGGGGTGCACCGCGCGCGAAGTGGGCGGGATTACCTACTTTCGACGGACGCGCGCAACGTCCCCCCCCCCCTCCCCTCATTGTAGGCAGGATTTTTAGTTAAAACTAAGTTACCTGGTGGACAAAGTTTGAGTGAGCCGGGTTTTGATTTTGGCTGTCGCACGATGTCACTGTTGCCTGCCGACGAAGGTCGTGCGAATATCCCAAACGACATCGCCACTGCGAGAAATGCTAGCAGTAGCAGCACGGACCTGTTCAGCATACCTTAACGATTTTTATGAAGTAAAACTGGTATGAAACTATGGTTCACTCTGAAACGATGATCGATTCGAATATAAATTCAATAGAGTTTGAAATAAAGTGCCTAGTACTGTCTGCTAGATGAAGACTTCAGCGCGAAAAATTGAAGACGTTTGAGATTTCCCAAAAGAAATCCTGAAATCAACAGCAACATTAAGTGTTCGTCCATAATGAGCAAGTTTTTTTGCCTTTTAAACGGTATAGTAAGCTGTGAAATAGCCGCCCCAGAACGTTATCGTTTCATCATGAATAAGTATAACTAGTCAATAGAAAATCCTATTTGTTGGTGATAAAAGTAGAGGTAGTGTAGTGTCAGAGGGGTTTGTGGGGGTTTACTACGACACGCATGTTCCGAGGTCAATATCACCCAGTACAACAAAGCCTTGCATTCCGTCGTAATCGGGTAATTGGTACTAGATGCGTCCGAGAAGATAAAAGCGCTGACTTGTCCACAGTGGGCCACTGCAGTCATTGTGTAGGCTACGTAAGTAATGGAAGCACACCAGCGATTTTGAATGGAAGTCGTATGCAGGGCGCGTGCTAAAAAGGGCTGATTAGCACAAAGCGCATAAAAGATAGCAACCTACATATACTTTGATGATGAAAACCCTTGTAACATAGGATCTTTGAAAAAGTGAAAGTGTTAAGAGTAACTTTCCAGAAGTTTCAAACACAAAGATTCTCTGTTGTGTAGCGAACAGTTGGGTAGCGGTGGAGTTAGAAGGAAATCGGTAAATATGATTTTCCGCTTGTGATCCCATAAGGGTCTGGCAATACTGAAAATATTGAAGAATCAAGATGATATCTTTATGGCAACAACTCATACAAGAGAATGAGCTTCATTTCTTTTCCCCAATTATTTCAGTCTATTTCAGTCGCACTATAGAAAGAATAGGAAATTCGCGAAACAATCGGAACGAGAATATTCCCAGCAACGAAATCAATTACATCAAAAATTATGTGATTAGTATTTCAATAGTTGGATTCTTAGCAACCCAAATGTCACCTTTATTTGTTATGGAATTAACGGACATTCGTGTTTTACGAAGAAATAGCAGAATTGAGCTTGAGGTCAATTCGATTCTCTCATTTTTNTTTTTCTGGATTGATAAAATATCTGCGACATCATGAGCAGATTCGGGATTATGCTGATGAATCGATAAGAAAAGGGCTGAAAATCTTGAGAGCAAAAGGAAGAGAATTAATAAATTTTGGCTCATGAGAACATAAAGTCTGCAAGGGTAAAGTCTTCCGTGTAATCAATCCCGTTTGAGGGGTGAGCCCTCGTCTTCTACTTCAATTCAGAATCGTAGTAGTGTATTGTATGCGTGTGTTGTCAACACAATGAATTGCGGTGGTCAGCCCATGTAAAAGTCAATGCTTTTATCTTCCCAGAGGAGTTCGGTACTAACTAACCGACCCAGGAAGGACAGAAGTCTTCGTGTTCCTGGACGGATATCGATTCGGGATTTAAACCCGTGGCCATGCGTATGTGATAGTGCGCCATTGGCCCCTGCACCGCTTCTGCCCTATGAGAACATTGTTTGAGAGAAAGGAAAGGAAAACGACATATTAGTCAATAATAGAAAAAGAATCACTCCTGAGGATTGCTTATGACAAGAGCCTACCACTCCCTCAGTCGAAAACGTGAAAGACATCTAAAAGAGTGGCTCTCCAGCAACAGTCCATCTTGGAAAACCGAATGAGTGGAGGTGCTTCTTTTAGTCATCATTCACCTTTTTTTAGTACGCAGGGATGACAAAGGGATGCTTCAAGGGTTGCCTAGATATGACACTGAACCCCGCTGAAAAAGCTCGAAATGATGGGCAGATTTTGAGAGGCCTAAAAAAGGAAATGAGTGAGGGAATAAACCGAAAACCAACTATGACATCATGGACTTTATGTCAAAATTCATGCTAAAATTCAGAGGAATGGATGTAATCACTGGCTCACTCAAGTAGACCAGACAAATTCCACTTTCACACAGTAAAACGTCTCTCGAGGTGAGGTACCCATTTTTCTCCTTGAATTTCAGAAGACACCTGTTTGGAGACTGCGAGGTTGGCTTGTCTTTGATTTCCTACCTTTCTAACTCTACCCCATGTCAAGAAAAGTTCAAAAGTTCTCAACTCTACCCCATGTCAAGAAAAGTTCAAAAGTTCTCCACGAAGTTCAAATTTCTGGAACTGGGACACTTTGTTTACGTTCTGGGGTTTAAAGGTGAAACTCTGCGACAGCTATCTTACCTTGGAAATATTTTCAAGTACGATGACTCTAGGAATCCCTTGAGCTCTAAAGAAAGACTTGGAAACCGAGAATGGCAGCGCAAGACTTTTTCGATGAGAATGTGAAATTTTGAAAAAGGGGTAGGAGAAGAGGGTAGCAACAAAGATCACTCATGGATGAAAACCTGTCACTCTAAGGAGACATGTGGTGAAGCGTTTTCTTGAAAGAATGAGAACTGCACCAGTTTCAGAGAACTAGTCTCTGACGTTTATTTAAAGACAGTCCGTCCCAATGTTGAAATTGCCCTTTTCTATTTCAGTCATCAGCCTATTTGACTCTTTCCTCGAACTTCTCCTCTCATGATGGATATTCTTTCGTGTTCCAAAACCGTCATATGCGTTTTGACCTGCACTGACCGAGCAAAGCCTGCCGATGGCTTCGGGACGGTTTTCCTCTACGATGAAAAAAAAACCGACTGAATTACTGACGAGGTCAGAAACCCAGGAAACGTCTGAAAAACTGAATTGAATACTGCGTAAAATCGATAGCATTGAAGTAATCCCTCCAACCATTTACAACAATTGGCACCTTGAAAACAGCTTTAATAAAGAGCACGAGTCAGCCAGCATTCCCCGGAGAGCAATGGACGATGGCCTCACGAAGGCGCTTGATTAACGAACTATTTTGAGAATAATGAAGGGGGTTCAATCTTTTTTAATGGTTTATGCATAGCATAGTTTATGACAGCTATCACATTTCGTTCAGTAACCATCTGGTCTTATAGGAAGATTTGGCCACGCCTTCAATGCTCTGAAACTAGTTATTTATAAAGTATTAGGTATGTAGAAGGCAGGCAAAACCGGAAAGCTCACGCAAACTTATGGGAATGTACTGTGAATTTTCAAATCGATCAGAATAATTCAGGTAATTGGTTGCGTATTCGGCCCCCGCGACGGTCCCAGATGGGTCATATACCAATCAGCCTACTCATTGGACCAACGAAAAGTTCAGTGGGCCGCAAGATCTAACCACAGGGAACTTCATGATATCAGGTACGTTCGAGTAATTAAAAATTACCGAGGTATGGGAAAATTTGACTAATCTAGACTTTGGGGAATCAAAGTAAACGGGGGGGGGGTCTCCTGGGAAGAACTGAACGCAATGTAAATGCAAATATGAAAAAACCAATGGGATCCTCGTTAATGCTCCAATTTCGTCAAGGTTTTTGAGTTGGACAAAACTATTTTGAATAAGGCTTAATACTTGAATGTTAACAAATAAGAAATCTGGTTACGACGACGACTATGAGGCATATAAATTCGAGAAAATTTCAGAAAGATAAATTGGAGGCTCGATGAGAGAATTAGCACTTAAATGAGAGAAACGGTTTTCACCAAGAAAAGAAGATATAGAAGTAGTAATTGTGTATGACGAGTTTGATGCAGAGGGGGAAACCTGCTGATTTATTTCAAAGAAAAGTAGAGCGTCTATAATTAAACTCCCTTCCTGGGCTGTGATTTTTACATCCTTTGTTCACCAGTATCTTATAATGTACCATACTATTTTGTATTTCTCATTGTGAACCTCAAAAAGAAAATGATTGGATGATAGGCGAGTTTCCAAAAAGGGCGGGAGCTCGAGCTACATGGGCAGGCCATCAATGCTGAATAGTCCTGCAAGCTATTGGACCCAGTGGGAACGAAATGCGAGAGGGTAACTAACTAAGGACAATTTTCTGCTTGTATGACAGCGCTCGCCCATATTTTATGGACTTTAGGCTGATTTCTCCATTGGGCAGACACCTATTTACCAGTTAGAGCTGTCTCAAAGTTCTGCCCTTTACCGAAACAAGTCAAGCGCGGAGTGGCCAATTTTGTCCTTTGGATGTCTTTCGCAGATTTGTTGATCTCACATGGTTGCCTGGTTCTGTCCTGGGCTTCCGAGTAGTTCAGGCTATTAATGTTAGATGGAGGTAAGTATAGATGATTCGATAATAAACAAAACTCCCGTGATAGACCAAAGATCACTCCTATGCTTAGGGTGTCACTCAGGATAGCCCTGACCTGGGACAGGGTTTTGTCGGTTCGTCTCGTCATCCTCGAGTACTTCGAACCCACAACTGACGAAGCCTCAGAGGAGCCGTAAAATAAGTGCCACAGATAAATAACACTTCCCATTGTCAGGTTCTTAGATGATGGCAGTTGACTGACAGTGGGGTCACCATTGACTGGATAAGGCTTAAATAGGGTATGTAAAAATGTGCAGATCTGTGAGGAAATGTGAAAGCAGAGGCTAGAAGGGGCTAATTGGCCGCATAGATAACGCGGCCATTAGCCATCAAGGGGCGGGCAGGGTGGGTGCCGCCGGTGGAGGGAGGGACGCGCGGATGGGCCGAGATGATCGTCGTGCAAGTATGCTTACTGCATATTCCCATGCGGTTCACATGATGCCCCGAACAGATTTTTCGAATACTGATGGCCATTTTACTGCCTGGCTGTTCAGCCAAATGACTGACTTATGATCGAGAGCAAAGTCCGGAGAAAAAAAGGAAAAAACTTTCAAACTTCCAAGTAGCAAAGAGCAAAAGAGGCACGAAAATAGTGTATCTACTGATAGAATCACACTGCCTGGGATCACTGGTCTCTGACCTCCTTCAGATGAAAAAGTTGATGAATTATCTTCAACAACTCATCCGAGCTTAATCATTCGAGTTTTTCGGAATCCCTGCTTATCTGG